TTTGTTCTCTTCCAGGGATGCCACCACTTCCAGTGCTTGACCAGTCTTTCGGAGAATAAATTTTTATTAATACAAAATAATCGTTAAAATTAAATACAGGTTTAATTTTAATTTCTAATTTAATTATAAAAGTGCAGATGTTAAAATTAACTAATGGTTAAAGTTACTGTTTATTAATAATAAATAATGGTGGCTGCATCAAGGACAGCAAACAGGCAGCCCTGCTCCCCCTGGAGCTGCACAGGCACTGCCAGGGGACAGAAATAACCCTGCAAACACAGCCGTGTCCCCCCTGCCCCAAACCCTTCTCTCTCCTCAGTGCACATGGAAAAAACCTCTGGAGATGGGAGCAGTGGGGCAGCCCCAGGTGTGGGAGGTGGGAGCTCCAATCCATTTGCTCCCAGGTGCAAATGAGGGTGAAGAAGGACCAGAAACAAGCCCAGATGTCCTGGATTGTACCCTGCATTCAGCCACCCTCCACTCGCCCCAAACTGGCCTTTTGGAAGCGTTTTTGGGAAGGGCCTGGGACACTGAGGGCTGCTGATGGAATTCTCCACAGGAGCCACAGGCAAAGCAGCACCGAGCTGGATGGAAGCAGCACCTCGCCCCTCAGCTCACATTCATCTATTAGAAATAATATTAATTATGCCACTAGCACAAAAAGCAATTATCAAAATATTTTGCTAAACATCTTAAAAAAATGTTATTTACCAAAACCCACTCAACTGCATCAAAGCCTTGACAAAAAGCTCTCTTAGAAATTAATAAATATATTTGATTAGCGCTTTCACGGATGCAGATTCTGCATATGGGAGCATTATAGTGCATTTAATTATATATAAAGGCAATTAATGTCACAAATTAAGACTAAGCTCTGACTCGAGCTAAATAATTGTCATTATCTATCATACAACATGCCCAGAAAGCTTAACTCTGCAATGATTTTAATGAACAATAAACTTGGCATTTACATACCAAAACAATTTGGTGTAATTCAGTCTCAATAATAAACGGCAACAAAAAAAAATCTCTGCCATTCCTGGGGGAATTTTTCCTTTTGGGATCCCATGGGAGTTTTTCCCAGCACGTCCATCACCATGGAGGGACATTTCCTGTCTGCAGCTGGGTCCCACAGGGACCAGGGGATGCTCCAGCCCCTCAGCTCCCAGGGAGTCACTTCTGTCCTCTGGGGCCTGCAGCTCCTCCAGAGCAGGACAGCTCTCCATGGATCTCCTCCAGAGCAGGACAGCTGTCCATGGATCTCCTCCAGAGCAGGACAGCTCTCCTGGATCTCCATGGATCTCCTCCAGAGCAGGACAGCTGTCCATGGAGCTGCAGGGGGAGTGGGCAGCTCCCAGCCCATCCAGGCACCTCCATCTCCCTGCTCTGCAGAGCCCAAAAACCAGTGCAGAAACTGCAGGGCGTGGGCACCAAACCAGTGCAGAAACTGCAGTGTGTGGGCACCAAACCAGTGCAGAAACTGCAGGGACCAAACCAGGGCAGAAACTGCAGTGTGTGGGCACCAAACCAGTGCAGAAACTCTGCAGGGACCAATCCAGCACAAACCCCGGGACACCAGGATCAAACCAGTGTGGTGACACAGTGTGAACTCAGTGGGGAATGAGATGAAGCTGTTATGGAAACAATGGTAACACTGCACTGATGCTAAGTGCAGCCAATTGTAAAATAAAAGACTTTAAATGGAGTTAAAGGCTGTGGCTTTGTGTTTGAGAAGGATCTGTGTGGGTGTAATAGTGTGGTGTAGTTTGTGAAATAAAAATAAAAATTGATCCACAGTGCAGAGTGCAACATCTTCACCTTGTGTCAGCTCTCAAACCAGAGCCTCGCTGGGCTCAGGGACTGGCTTCAGAGTCTAATGCATAGAAATGGGGTGGAAGTGATAAAATAAATTACTAATGCATTCATAATATTAAACATTAAAAAATAAATATGTTTTTAAATACAACCAGCATGGTGTGGTGGCTGTCAGTTCTGGTTGTGTCGGTTGTAGCAGGATGCTCTGCCTGGGATGGGGTGAAACAGCTCCAGCAAGGCCCTGTTTGCAAAGCTGTCAGTGCTGGATGAAGGGGCTCACGCTGCTTTTGGGGTGAATAATGCTGAAAGCAGCCTGACTCATCAGTCCCAAAGTTAAACATGCCGAGGGAGTGAGGATGTGTCAGAGCTGCTGAGGTAGCCAATAAAGGCACAAACAAGTGTTGCTGCTGATCCAAAGTGAAGCAAAGCTGCTGAGCTGACACAGCCTGGACACCTCTGACAGCGCAGCCCCCGTCCTGCCCCAGCCCCATCCCACCTCTGATGGCAGGAACTCCGAATGTGTGTATTTTCCAGCCTCTGGAATGTGTGTGGAGCCTCCTCCCTGCAGCCAGGGTGCTCCTCAAGGTCACCCCTGCAGGCTGAGCTGGAGATCTGCCCACAGTCATTGCTCTGGGTGAGTAACATCAGCCTCTACTGAATCATTTGGTTTGCTCTAATAATGCTTAAAAAGAGTGCACTTTGCTGTAGTAATGCTTTGAGTAAAGAATTCTGATCGAGATCTTTTTGTCTAATCATCATCCTAATAAATCATTTACTTTTGTATAAATATATCTGGTTTGCCACCCTTGATCCTGCAGGAAGAGGCTGTGTTTGAGTCTGTACAATCTGTTAGACACAAAGGGCTGGCAAAGTTTGGGTCTGAGATTGGATCCAGCTGCATCCCAACTCCTCTCTGAGGAGTTTAGGAAGCTGGAGGTCCCTTCTGCCCCTCGGGATTGAATGGGAGGGTTTCCCTATAAACTGGGGACTTTGCCTGGGGCTCCCAATCTGCCCAGGGCCCGTGTGTGTATCCCAGAGTGATGCTGAGTGCACACACACACACACACAGATACTTCTGTGTGTATGGAGGTGCAGCTTAGAGACAGCCATCAATGGTCCCTAACTCCCCATTGCTCCCTCTCAGCAGCACCATCCATTCCCTCTTTCCACCTCAGTCCCCCCCTCACCAAAACAAAGTGAGAAACAAACCAACAAACTATCTTTTTCCCATTCAGAAAAAAGAAAATGGGAGTCTTTGAGCAAGAAACGTGTGTTTGATGGTGAGGTGCTTATTTGGCTCTGTCGCTGTGGTGATGGGAGAACGCTGCAGCCCCTCTGCCCTCGTTATCAGCTGGGCTGCTGATGAGTTTGGTGCTGATGGAGCCTCTTTTACCTGGGCAGAGCTCTGTGTGGAGCCAGCTGCGGTTTGTTCTGGGGTGCAGGAGCATCCCTGGCCATGCCCGGGCTGGCAGGCAGCCTGGGACAGCCAGCTCCTCATCTCCGTGCGCCCTGTCACGGCTTCTCCTGATGCTGATTAACTTCATCAGGATAATTGATCAAGTTGTCTGCAGAAGATGGGAGGATAAATACCTTCCCCAGGATCCGTCAGAGCAGCCCAGCCGTGGTTGGATGCCGAAGGTGCTGCAGGTGCTGTGCTGCAAAGGCAATGAGTTTCCCCTCAGCTTCTCCCTTCTCCTGCCCCAGCTCACCCAAGCCGTGCCTGGCAGATTGACTCTGATTAATTGCTCATTTAATTACCTTCTGGTGTGCTGCTGTACTTCACGTCCTTCAGGAGTCTCAGCAGTTGACAGCAGCTCCGGAGATCTCAGACACGAGGTTGGCACCGTGGGACTCTGGCTTGGCTTTGGGGTTCTTACAGACCTTTCAAAGTCCCTTCCGAGCACTTTCCCCCTGCAGCCAGCTGCCAGCTCCCCAGGACTGACCCCAGACCTGCTCCATGTGCCCCTCTGGGCCCGGTTTTTGGGTGCCTGACGTTGGCATGAAATAAATGTTAAATCACGAGGGGGAAGGGGGAGGGAACAACTGAAAAAATATATTTATTGGAGTAAATAAAAAAAAAGTTAACCAAAATCCTTTATTGATACATTCTTGGATAATATCACAGGATCGAGAGAATGGAAAGGGAGGGAGGAGGTTGCGGCAAAGATTGGTTTCACTAAATTGGCACATAAGCAGCAAGATTAACGAAATTACTTATTACAAACAGTATAAAACATACATGCTTCTGTAAGTCCTTATCACACTGGTCAATCATGGTGGGGCATCAACAAAGAAAAACCTCAAGACATGTAAAAGCCATATTCTTTCCTCCAAATATCATAAGAATCATCGAAATTATTGCAAAATAGTCATATACCTTAAAGAAAAGAACAAAATAGAACACAAATACAAATATCAAACGTAAATTATTAACATGTACCATAAAATACATTACTGGCATGCATTCCAAAGATCAAGACCTCTACTAAAACTCAGCAAAAATCCTTCCTGCTTCCTCTGCAGCCCATCGGAGGTGTGAAGGGGGGGGACAAACTTCGCCAGCACAGTTTTTGGTCTTTAAATTCTTTTTTTTGTTTGTTTGTTTAGTTAAAAAAAAATAAGGTATATGGATTGCAGTGATACAAGAGTAATAATACAAGTCATGTACACGGGCCTCAGATCCTCGGCCGTCGGTCGGTTTGAGAAGTGCCGAGAGCACAGGGCCTCGATGAAACTGTGCATCCAAAAAACAAACAGTGACCTCGGAACGACATGGATGGCAATATGCAAAACTCCTCACAAACTGTACAGAGTTGAAAATCTTGCAGTCTGGAAGTACATAGAAAGACAGAATCACCCCTCGGAGCGCGGAGCGGCGGCGCGCAGCGGGCCCGGCAGGCGCGGCCGCGTTGGGCCCTGCCCGGAGCAGATCCTGGAGCAGATCCCGGAGATCCTGGAGCAGATCCTGGAGCAGATCCCAGAGATCCTGGAGCAGATCCTGGAGCTCCCAGAGCAGATTCCAGAGCTCCTGGAGCAGATCCTGGAGCAGATCCTGGAGCAGATCCCGGAGCAGATCCCAGAGCAGATCCTTGAGCTCCCGGAGCAGATCCTGAAGCAGATCCCAGAGCAGATCCCAGAGCTTCCAGAGCAGATCCCGGAGCACCCAGAGCCCGGCTCCTCTCGCCCCCGTGCCCTCAGGCAGGCACGGCCCGGGGCCCACGGCCCTCGGCAGCCAGGCCTAGATCACCAGGTTGTTGTAGCTCACGTATTTCTTCTTGGCAGCAGGGCCTGCGAGAGAGGAGACGGGGTCAGAGCCCACGGCAGGGCCCTGGAGGGGCTGGGGCTGCTGGGGCACCGGGAATGGGGATACACTGGGAATGAGGGATTGGGGATGAGCTGGGAATGGGGATGTGCTGGGAATGGGAACACACTGGGAATTGGGATGTGCTGGGAATTGGGATGTGCTGGGAATGAGGGATTGGGGATGAGCTGGGAATTGGGATGTGCTGGGAATGGGAACACTCTGGTGGCTCCCGACCCCCAGCTCCTGCCTGCAGGGCTCCGGGCAGGCGGCTCCCAGGCCAGCCCGAGCTCCAGCCCCAGCTCTGGCTGTAAACAGAATTAACAGGGATTGATTTTGCCAGGCTCCCGCAGTCTGGGTGACTGTGCCGCTGAGGCACCACAACCAGATCCTATTAAGATTTCTGTTTTGCAAAAACAGTGACATTTCCTCCAACTTCTTAAATCTCCTGGGCTAAACTTGGCTTTTCGCATGGATAAAGCAATTCTTATTCAAGTTTTATGACTTCTGAGAATTTTTCAATATGGGGATGAAGGTACCAGCTTTCCTAATGATGACCTTCAAATCCAATCTGTTTGCAAACAGAAGGAAATCAAACCAGTCAGAGCTTTATGAGTGCCGCTACATGCTGCCATCAGGAAAACTGCAAATATTTGCAGCTGAACACAAAGCAAAGTGTTCTGCAGAACTCTGGCAACACTGACAGATCCAGGACACAGAACCATGGAATATTCAGAGTGGAAAACACCAGGATCACCCAGCCCAACTCCTGGCCCTGCCCAGACCCCCAAAATCCCACCCTGGGCATCCCTGGAGCTCTGGAGCACCCCTGGAGCTGTGGCAGCCTCAGGCTGTGCCCATTCCCTGGGGAGCCTGGGCAGTGCCAGCACCTCCGGGGGAGAATCTTTCCCTGATCTCCAACCTAAACTCCACAGAGACCAAAAAAAGAGCCTGGATTTACAGTTATCCCAGTTTGCTAAAACACTGAAGTGGAAATCCCACAGTCTTTGGGAGAATTTGGCATAACTTAAGCAGTTTGTTGAATATTTCCAGCCTGCTAAGCTGGGGCAGCCTCCACCCACACCTTGGATGATGTTTTTATAATGTGGTGTGTTTCATTTTAAAACCTTCTCAGGAGGATTTAATAGATGCTGTGGAAGGAGAGGTGAGAACAACAATTAGATTTGTTCTGCAAATGTGCTTTTCAAACTTCATTGGGCTTGGGCCTCCCAGGGCTCCTCTCAGCCCCTCAGCAAAAACAGGAAATGGATCCCACCCAGAGCTCTGTGTCTCCCCAGCACCCCCTGCATGTGTGCCAGCCCTGAACATCCCCTGCATGTGTGCCAGCCCCCCGGGCACCCCAAGCCCTCAGGGAGCAGCCACAGCTCCCTCTGCTCCCCTGACAGGCTGTGCTGTCCCCTGGCTGTCCCCTGGCAGCGGTGTCACCAGGCAGACATCGCTGCTGCTCTTTCACAAGCACCTGCTCTGCCCTCCCCCAGCAATTCCGACTGGTTGGAGTACAGTGCACAGACTGCAGCCCAATATCAATATTTCCCATGGTGTTCACTGTTTCACTGGCAAAGGAAGGATTTTAGTCCCAGGTATTTCCAAGATGGACATGTAAGAATCTCACGTGCAGCTCTGCAATATTATCCTGAAACCCTCATTCAGCTCTTTCCTCATGCCCCAGACAGGAGCCTGTGCTGTCTGTTCAATCAAGGACTGATCCCACAAAGTGCTGATCATCTTCAGTTCCCATTAACTTCTCTTGCACACGAAGGTGTCCAACATCTGCCAGGATAAAACTCATTATCCTTCAAGGCTGCAGTACAAATACCAATAAACTGGGGAACGCCATTAAACGCTGAAGAAGGGTAAAATGAGCCTGGGAAAAAAAAATGTCATCATGGAACAGGTTGCAAAGTAATTCCATGTATTATTTTGTGATGTACTTCAGCTTTACCCATTACAAGCTCCAATTTCAAGGAGCAGCAGCATTTCTAGGACTGAGATTTCGCTGCTCCCACTGCCAGTTCAGCTCATGCCACCCCTCCAGTGCCCCCAGGCTATTACTGGGGCTCTCAGCAAAACCAATCGTTTTGCGGAGGAGTTTTCTCACCAGCTCAGCCCCGGTACTCCTTTCTCATTTCCAACAGGACGAGGAAGCACCGGTGCCAAAGGGATGGAGCCCCAGGAGTGCTGCGGGTACGGCCGGGCTCCGAGACAGTGACACAACCCTTGGCACGGCCCTGCCTCACCCGGATAATGGAGCTGACAAAAGCATCATCCATAATTCAGATAAAATGATCAATAAAAGCCGTGTGGTTATTTTCAGAGAGGAAAGACAATGTTCCTTGTTCAAAGGCTGTTCGGCCGGGGGGGATCATGTTCCCGATGGCTGCTGGAGCATTTCCCCACTCTGCTCCTGCCTGCAGCTCAGCCCCAGTGCAGCTCCCAGACACGGACAGCTCAGGACAGCTCAGGACAGAGACAGTCTGCCTCCTTAAGGAATCTCTCCCGAGTCACAGCTCATCGTTATCATTGGCAATTAGCGCCAGGTATGGGTTTGATTTTCCTCCAAGAAACGAATTTACATGAAAACGGGGCCGGTGTTTTAATGCCGCAGCCACAGCGCCGCTCCCCACGGGCACGGCTACAGCAGTGCCACTGCTCTGGGACACGGTGACATTCCCCACCCCATATCCCTGTTAATTAATGCACACATTAATTAGTGCAGCCTCCAGCCGGGAGCAGCAGCTGCAGTGCTGGGACATTCCCGGTGCCAGGGGATCCCGGAGCCGCTCCATCAGCGGGGCTCGCTCCCAAATGCGCTGTAGGAGGAAATACCCCGGCTCCTGCCTCCCTTCTGCAAATCAAGGCTCTCCGGAGGCATCTGCACCCTGTAACTTCCTTGGAAAATAAAAGGGGACCTTTCAAAAGAGCCTTAAGCACCTTAAAAAGAGCTTTCCTGCCGCAGTTAGAGACAAGCGCCCCTTCGTGCCGATTTTCCGCTAATTAGCGGTGAGGAGCGACAGTGCGGCAGGAGAGAGCAGGAGGGACAGCCGAGGGATGCAGGGGGAGCAGGAGAGAGCAGGAGAGAGCAGGAGAGACAGCCGAGGGATGCAGGGGGAGCAGGAGGGACAGCCGAGGGATGCAGGGGGAGCAGGAGAGAGCAGGAGAGACAGCCGAGGGATGCAGGGGGAGCAGGAGGGACAGCCGAGGGATGCAGGGGGAGCAGGAGGGACAGCCGAGGGATGCAGGGGGAGCAGGAGGGACAGCCGAGGGATGCAGGGGGAGCAGGAGGGACAGCCGAGGGATGCAGGGGGAGCAGGAGGGACAGCCGAGGGATGCAGGGGGAGCACCAGGAGCTCTGCGAGGCTCCGCTCAGGCTCAGAAATAACCCCGCAGAGTCACGGAAGCAGCGAGGCTGGAAACGCCTCCAGACCGGCCAGTCCCCCCTGCAGCCACTAACCCTGGCCCTGAGGGTCACCTCAGCTCGCTGCTGGACACCCGCAGGGCTCCGCTGCCTCCCGGGGAGCCTGACCCCTCCTGGGGGAAGAACCTTTCCCTGCTCCCCCGGCGGAACGGCCCCGCTGCAGCCCGGGACAGCTTCCCCTCGCTGGGCCGGGCACAGTGTCCCTGCAGCCAGCCACAGCTGCACAGCTGGAACACACGGGGACAGCCTGCACGGCTGCACAGCTGCACAACTGCACATCTGCACATCTGCACAGCTGTACACCCGCACGGGGACAGCCTGCACGGCTGCACAGCTGCACAACTGCACATCTGCACATCTGCACAGCTGTACACCCGCACGGGGACAGCCTGCATGGCTGCACATCTGCACATCTGTACAACTGTACACCTGCACACCTGCACATCTGCACTGACACGGGGACAGCCTGCACAGCTGCACACCTGTACACCTGCACACCTGCACAGCTGTACACCTGCACAGCTGTACACCTCAGCTGCACACCTGTACACCTCAGCTGCACACCTGCACACCTGTACACCTGCACACCTGTACACCTGCACACCTGCACACCTGTACACCTGTACACCTGCACACCTGCACACCTGCACAGCTGTACACCTGCACACCTGCACACCTGCACACCTGTACACCTGCACACCTGTACACCTGCACACCTG